TTAATTAGTATATCGGGAAATATATAGGGAAATGAGAACTATCCTGTTCGTCCATCTTCAGGCTACCGGCCTTGGGTTACCACTCTCCCTGTCTCCTGGAGCAGGTGCACAAAAATAGGTGGAGTGCTGGCTCGACCTTCCATTGTGCTGTCCAGTGCAGCTAAACTGTTGGGGTGATGGTATTTTGCCAGTGGTATAGGAGCAAGAGGGATGCATGGAGGGAATATGTCTGATGCACAATGCTTCCTGGGGCTACTGCTGGCATGGTTGAGCTAATTTACCACCCCTTGCTCAGGACGGTGCCTACTGGCACAATCTAGCTTTAAAGCTACATTACAGTGCAGGTTGCCCAGAAACAATTTATATATGGATTGTAAGTTCCTTGGGACTGCCTTCTTGTATTGTTTGTATGGTGCCTAGTGCAACAGGGTCTTGGTCTATGATTGGATTCTCTAGGTGCTACTGCAATACAAATAATGTTATAACCAGTGAGTTCATGGTTAAGCTTATTAGAATAATGTAGTTAGGTTCAAGGATTCCTGAGTATGTTTAAATTTAGTTTTCAGTATTTCATAAAATACACTCTGGGTCTGATTTTGCTACTACTGCTCATGTTGAGTAGTACTTTACGGCACAATTAGTCCCTCTGATTGAAATGGCAATACTCATGGAGTAAGGATGGCAGAATTGGGCCTTCTGATCTCATTAAACAAAGGCTGATGGGCTTGAGAGCAGAAGAATTATCCCTGGAGTGGGGTTGTAAAACTAGTAAAAATTATGAAAACAAAATGCCCTTGTCTGGATTGGAGGAGGAGATCCGTAGTAGAGGCTTTCTCTGTCTAGCGTTTGTCACTGGATATAAAATTAATGGATTGTTTGTTTTACTCTTCATTTATGGAAGTTTTGCTATATTTAGAAAATCCAGTAACATGTGTGCCCACACACAGTGAGTGAGAGAACTAATCAATCTATGGTATCAATCATTCTACCCCTCTCAGTATTTCAAGCAAGAAGCTGGTGCCTCCTGAACTCTGCTGATTTGAATCCTGCCTCTCTAACCATTCCTTGTTTATTTCAAATGGAGATTTCATACCTCTCTTTGTCCACCATAAAGTGCCACAGAACTGTGTCTTTGTCCTGGCTAAATCCTCTTTTTATGCATATATTTTTTTCCCTTTGTGACATCTTATTTCTGTGTTCATCTATGATTATATGTGTGCTCGTCCTTCCTCAATTTGCTGTCTCATCTTCCACAAGGATCCTATATATTATAGATGCTATATAAAAGAATATGCATAATTATTATTGCTGAGATTTTCAAAGGAGTTTTAGGGAGTTGGGTGCCCATACCCAACTGAATTTTAGTAGGCTGCAGGCACCTAATTCCCTTTGATTTCTTTGAATATCTCTGTCTCAGAAGTTATCACCTCATTATTTATTACCGTTAAGTGTAAAATTCTTCTAATGGCTTGCTTGGGATGCCCTGGAGTCTGGAGGCTTCTTCAGCGGTTCTTAAAACTGAATGTTTCCTCTCTCTAATTGATCCCCAACCAAACTATGTATGTGTGATAACAAGTCAGAATTCAGGTGCTGGGCCCAGGTTCAGGAATTCAAACAAACAAACAAACATGGGGGGGAAATAGAAAAGGAAAAAAAGCCAGTTTCCAGCTTGTGTAAAGTGTCATGGCTCCACTTACATCGGCAAACCTATGCTAATTTATATAAGCTGAGGAGCTGGCCTAAGACTTTTTCATTACGAGATTTCAAGTTATTATGAAATGTTTACACATGCACAAGGAAAGCTCACATTAAATAATATAAAATACTGTCTTAAATAAGAATTACAACAATTCAACACCTGATGCTCTGATTTCATTTGCAAAAGACTTAAGGTATGTCTACACTACGAAATTAGATTGAATTTATAGAAGTCGTTTTTTTAGAAATCGTTTTTATATATTCGAGTGTGTGTGTCCCCACAGAAAATGCTCTAAGTGCATTAAGTGCATTAACTCGGCGGAGTGCTTCCACAGTACTGAGGCAAGCGTCGACTTCCGAAGTGTTGCACTGTGGGTAGCTATCCCACAGTTCCTGCAGTCTCCGCTGCCCATTGGAATTCTGGGTTGAGATCCCAATGCCTGATGGGGCTAAAACATTATTGCGGGTGGTTCTGGGTACATATCGTCAGGCCCCCGTTTCCTCCCTCCCTCCGTGAAAGCACCAGCAGACAATCGTTTCGCGCCTTTTTTCTTGAGTTACCTGTGTAGACGCCATACCATGGCAAGCATGGAGCCCACTCAGCTCACCGTCACCGTATGTCTCCTGGGTGCTGGCAGACGTGGTACTGCATTGCTACAGAGCAGCAGCAACCCATTGCCTTGTGGCAGCAGACGGTATAGTATCGTCATGTCCGAGGCGCTCCTGGCCACATCGGCCAGGAGCACCTGGGCAGACATGGGTGCAGGGACTACATTAGAAGTGACTTGACCAGGTCATTGTCTTTAGTCCTGCAGTCAGTCCTATTGAACCATCTTATGGTGAGCAGGCAGGCGATACGGATTGCTAGCAGTCCTATTGTACCATCTTCTGCCGGGCAGCCATGAGATGTGGATGGCTTGCAGTCCTTCTGCACCGTCTGCTGCCAGCCAAACATGTAAAAGATAGATGGAGTGGATCAAAACAAGAAATAGACCAGATTTGTTTTGTACTCATTTGCTTCCCCCTCTCCCCCCAGGGGACTCATTCCTCTAGGTCACACTGCAGTCACTCACAGAGAAGGTGCAGCAAGGTAAATCTAGCCATGTATCAATCAGAGGCCAGACCAACCTGCTTGTTCCAATAACAATTATTTAGGTGCACCATTTCTTATTGGAACCCTCCATGAAGTCCTGCCTGAAATACTCCTTGATGTAAAGCCACCCCCTTTGTTGATTTTAATTCCCTGTAAGCCAACCCTGTAAGCCATGTCGTCAGTCGCCCCTCCCTCCATCAGAGCAAAGGCAGACAATCGTTCCGCGCCTTTTTTCTGTGCGGACGCCATACCAAGGCAAGCCACAGGCATTATCCAGCAGTATATGCAGCACCAGAACCTGGCAGAGCGATACCGGGCGAGGAGGCAATGTCAGCGCGGTCACGTGAGTGATCAGGACATGGACACAGATTTCTCTGAAAGCATGGGCCCTGCCAATGCATGCATCATGGTGCTAATGGGGCAGGTTCATGTGGTGGAACGCCGATTCTGGGCTCAGGAAACAAGCACAGACTGGTGGGACTGCATAGTGTTGCAGGTCTGGGATAATTCCCAGTGGCTGCGAAACTTTCTCATGCGTAAAGGCACTTTCATGGAACTTTGTGACTTGCTTTCCCCTGCCCTGAAGGGCATAAATACCAAGATGAGATCAGCCCTCACAGTTAAGAAGTGAGTGGCGATAGCCATGTGGAAGCTTGCAACACCAGACAGCTACCGGTCAGTTGGGAATCAATTTGGAGTGGGCAAATCTACTGTGGGGGCTGCTGTGATGCAAATAGCCCACGCAATCAAAGATCTGCTGATATCAAGGCTAGTGACCCTGGGAAATGTGCAGATCATGATGGATGGCTTTGCTGCAATGGGATTCCCTAACTGTGGTGGGGTCATAGACGGAACCCATATCCCTATCTTGGCACCGGAGCACCAAGCCGGCGAGTACATAAACCGCAAGGGATACTTTTCAATAGTGCTGCAAGCTCTGGTGGATCACAAGGGACGTTTCACCAACATCAACGTGGGATGGCCGGGAAAGGTACATGACGCTCGCATCTTCAGGAACTCTGGTCTGTTTCAAAAGCTGCAGGAAGGAACTTTATTCCCAGACCAGAAAATAACCACTGGGGATGTTGAAATGCCTATAGTTATCCTTGGGGACCCAGCCTATCCCTTAATGCCATGGCTCATATATACTCACATATACAGGCAGCCTGGACAATAGTCAGGAGCTGTTCAACTACAGGCTGAGCAAGTGCAGAATGGTGGTAGAATGTGCATTTGGACGTTTAAAGGCGCGCTGGCGCAGTTTACTGACTCGCTTAGACCTCAGCGAAACCAATATTCCCACTGTTATTACTGCTTGCTGTGCGCTCCACAATATCTGTGAGAGTAAGAGGGAGATGTTTATGGCTGGGTGGGAGGTTGAGGCAAATCGCCTGGCTGCTGGTTACGCGCAGCCAGACACCAGGGTGGTTAGAAGAGCACAGGAGGGCGCGGTACGCATCAGAGAAGCTTTGAAAACCAGTTTCATGACTGGCCAGGCTACTGTGTGAACGTTCTGTTTGTTTCTCCTTGATGAAACCCCCCGCCCCTTGGTTCACTCTACTTCCCTGTAAGCTAACCACCCTCCCCTCCTCCCTTCGATCACCGCTTGCAGAGGCAATAAAGTCATTATTGCTTCATGTTCATGCATTCTTTATTCATTCATCACACAAATAGGGGGATGACTACCAAGGTAGCCCAGGAGGGGTGGTGGAGGAGGGAAGGAAAATGCCACACAGCACTTTAAAAGTTTACAACTTTAAAATTTATTAAATGCCAGCCTTCTGTTTTTTGGGCAATCCTCTGTGGTGGAGTGGCTGGTTGGCCGGAGGCCCCCCCCCACCGCGTTCTTGGGCGTCTGAGTGAGGAGGCTATGGAACTTGGGGAGAAGGGCGGTTGGTTACACAGGGGCTGTAGTGGCAGTCTGTGCTCCTGCTGCCTTTCCTGCAGCTCAACCATACACTGGAGCATATTGGTTTGGTCCTCCAGCAGCCTCAGCATTGAATCCTGCCTCCTCTCATCATGCTGCTGCCACATTTGAGCTTCAGCCCTGTCTTCAGCCTGCCACTTACTCTCTTCAGCCCGCCACCTCTCCTCCCGGCCATTTTGTACTTTCCTGCACTCTGACATTATTTGCCTCCACGCATTCGTCTGTGCTCGGTCAGTGCGGGAGGACAGCATGAGCTCGGAGAACATTTCATCATGAGTGCGTTTTTTTTTCTTTCTAATCTTCACTAGCCTCTGGGAAGGAAAAGATCCTGTGATCATTGAAACACATGCAGCTGGTGGAGAAAAAAAAGGGACAGCGGTATTTAAAAAGACACATTTTATAAAACAATGGCTACACTCTTTCAGGGTAAACCTTGCTGTTAACATTACATACATAGCACATGTGCTTTCATTACAAGGTCGCATTTTGCCTCCCCCCACCGCGTGGCTACCCCCTCAACCCTCCCCCCTCCCCGTGGCTAACAGCGGGGAACATTTCTGTTCAGCCACAGGCAAACAACCCAGCAGGAACGGGCACCTCTGAGTGTCCCCTGAAGAAAAGCACCCTATTTCAACCAGGTGACCATGAATGATATCTCACTCTCCTGAGGATAACACAGAGAGATAAAGAATGGATGATGTTTGAACGCCAGCAAACATACACTGCAATGCTTTGCTGTACAATGATTCCTGAGTACATGCTACTGGCCTGGAGTGGTAAAGCGTCCTACCATGGAGGACGCAATAAGGCTGCCCTCCCCAGAAACCTTTTGCAAAGGCTTTGGGAGTACATCCAGGAGAACCACGAATGCCAGGGCAAATTAATCCTTTCACATGCTTGCTTTTAAACCATGTATAGTATTTTAAAAGGTACACTCACCAGAGGTCCCTTCTCCGCCTGCCGGGTCCAGGAGGCAGCCTTGGGTGGGTTCGGGGGGTACTGGCTCCAGGTCCAGGGTGAGAAACAGTTCCTGGCTGTCGGGGAAAACCGGTTTCTCCGCTTGCTTGCTGTGAGCTATCTACAACCTCATCATCATCTTCTTCGTCCCCAAAACCTGCTTCCATGTTGCCTCCATCTCCATTGAAGGAGTCAAACAACACGGCTGGGGTAGTGGTGGCTGAACCCCCTAAAATGGCATGCAGCTCATCATAGAAGCGGCATGTTTGGGGCTCTGACCCGGAGCGGCCGTTCGCCTCTCTGGTTTTCTGGTAGGCTTGCCTCAGCTCCTTAAGTTTCACGCGGCACTGCTTCGGGTCCCTGTTATGGCCTCTGTCCTTCATGCCCTGGGAGATTTTGACAAAGGTTTTGGCATTTCGAAAACTGGAACGGAGTTCTGATAGCACGGATTCCTCTCCCCATACAGCGATCAGATCCCGTACCTCCCGTTCAGTCCATGCTGGAGCTCTTTTGCGATTCTGGGACTCCATCATGGTCACCTCTGCTGATGAGCTCTGCATGGTCACCTGCAGCTTGCCATGCTGGCCAAACAGGAAATGAGATTCAAAAGTTCGCGGGCCTTTTCCTGTCTACCTGGCCAGTGCATCTGAGTTGAGAGTGCTGTCCAGAGCGGTCACAATGGAGCACTCTGGGATAGCTCCCGGAGGCCAATACCATCAAATTGTGTCCACAGTACCCCAAATTCAACCCAGCAAGGCCGATTTAAGCGCTAATCCACTTGTCAGGGGTGGAGTAAGAAAATCGATTTTAAGAGCCCTTTAAGTCGAAAAAAAGGGCTTCATCGTGTGGACGGGTGCAGGTTTACATCGATTTTAACGCTGCTAAATTCGTCCTAAAGTCCTAGTGTAGACCAGGGCATAGAGAACTAGCCAAGTACTCACAGCCAAGTTCTTCAAGTTAAACTCCCTTCTTCTTTTTTTTTTTTTTTTGTCATTCAGATCCCTCTTTCGAACTTGCTTTTGCCATGATGCTACAGAAAATGAACTACAGTTAAGCATCTGGTGCACTGAGAATGCTGCCTGTCATGATGACCAGCACTGTGTCATTGTTTCCTTATGCTCCCCCATCTGTCTGTCTGTGTCTACCGTTTTTCTCTTCTTTTATAGTTACACTGCAAGCGTTTGGAGTCTTTTTGTTCTGTTTGCACAGCACCTCACGCATGACTGGGGCTCCTAAGCACTACCACAATATATGCAATAAATAATGATGATAAAGCAAATCCTACTCAGTGTATGTGTGGCAGCAAATTGAGCCCTTCATGAAATGAAAAAACCAAACAACTCCCCTGAAAACTCTAACTCAGACCAGAGGAAACAGGTCTGAGGTCCACTACTGAGCCCTCAGTTAATTAGAATTAGTTCAGGAAAGGAATAAGTAATCAAAGAAAAGCTTCCACTTTCCAATTAGCAACTTTAGATCATGCATATTTCATGGACCTTTAAAAAAACCAGTAAAAGTGTGGTAGCAGAAATATTAAATGGTGCTAAATTAATTATGGTTTATGGAGCAGAGGAGGTTGGTTGGCATTTACTTTCTTTAAAATGATAGCTACATGTAAAAATTCTGTTTTCATGTATGTACATGTTTTAGCAGATTTGACTGTATCCCTTCCTTCATATGCTGCTTGTTGTCTTAGACCTCAATGCTGCAATGAGTTTAGGTGTAGGGGTCAGTGCAGGATCAGGGACTAAAACTGTAAGCTCCAGGGGGGACCATATCTTCCTATATATTTATACACAGTCTAGCACAAGGGGATCCCCTGATAATGATCATGCCCCAAACCTGCTTCTGGAGTATAGATATTTAATGATAAATGGCATAAAATGTGGTTGAATATCACAAACTTTAATACTAGCAAAGTATTGAATTGCTAAACCTAAGCCCTCTTCCCAAGGTGTTAAATACCACAACCAATAATAAAAGCCCAGCTTTCTCAGTTGGTATCAAAGTCCAAACAAAGTCATCTTCACTTTCAAGGCTGTGGTTTCTTCATTCCCCCAACTGTGTCTTTCTACACACCACAGCCCAAAAAGGCACTCAGCCAACATTCAGAGCCTCATTGGATGGGGATGGGGAAACATTGTTCGGCTCCCTCTTCTTAACATAGACTGCTTCATAAAGATCAACTGACCTTGGTTTTTTTGGCCTGATCAAAAGAGTTGATGAGCAGGCAAAAAAATCTATTGAAGTCAGGAGCAGGGGTGTGGTTTAATTTGGTGGATTAACATTTAGAAGCATGTATTGTGAAATGTCTTACGCTGATGTGGTGTGATGGAGAATCTCTCTCTCCCTTGGCATCAATTAAATAGAAAAGCAGTCCTTCCCTTTAGCTTTTCCACCCTCTGCTTCCTCCTTCTTGGGATCCAAAATATTGTTGGGGTGTTTTACAGTGATTTAAGTGCTGCTGATGGTGGCTTGGTAAGCAGCCATAAACACTGAAGTCTTCAATAGAGCTGCCAAAGGTAGTGCAAGCTTCTCTGCATTGCCTCATCAGTGTGCCCCAACCCTGGCATGAAGAGACCATGTCTAGATGAGAGAACATAGTTCAGTATCCAGGCTTGTTCATGCCTTGGCTCTTCTGCTGACGAGGGGGTCAGTTAGAGCTGACTATATTATTATTACTGATTTAATATGTACATTATAATAGTTCCCAGAGGAACTGAGGACTGGGGTTCCATTTTGCTAGGCACTCCATAGATGTTTCTCTCTTTCTTATCTTAAAGAAGTGCCACGGCAGACCACTTGAGCACTGAGAACTAAGCTCTTCTTCACTCTTGCCTCTCCCCTCCCCACTGAAAGGTGGTCTGTCCCCCTCTCTCAGAGACCTCTTCTGAAGAAAGTCAACCCCGATCCCCCGGCCATGTTCCTCATTCTTCCTCTTCAGCTGATCAGTTCATCCCAGTGCTTCCCACCACTTCTCTAAACCCATCCTTCTCATCCATGGACGAGTACTCTCTCCTTCCCTGACCTGCCTTTGTCACTCTTGCATGCTGCTCAATGCAGCGACACCGGGGAAAGAATGTGGGTGTTTTTTTTCCCCAAGGACATTTTACAGACAAATATTTGTAAGTGTGTATAGAAATAACAGCTGTAACAGATAAAAGAATTTTCAATCTTCTTTTCCAAATTGAACTGTCAATATCTGAACCCCCTACACACCTGCTCTTCTTCCTTATATCTTCACTGAATCAATGGGACTGCATAGATATAAATGAGGACAGAATTTGGCCTGAAAGTTAGAAAAGGAAATGTAGATGTTTTCATTGGAAACCAACCTGAGATGTTTGTTAAACCCAAACTGCTTCAACACAGCTTTTTGCATAGGTCCTGGTTTAACCAGCTGTGTCAAAAACTGATTAACTAGACCCAATGTTATGCTCCTTTACATTTCTTGCTTATTTAATTAGTCACAAAATGCAGTTTCTTTCATTATTTTGACACAAGAAGAAAGCTAGAATACATTAAAGTCAAGTTCAGTCAGCATAAGAGAACCAAAAAAGAGCAATGACAGCACTAGTTTAGGAGGGTTAGGGGGAGAGAAAGGGTGAGAGAGGAAATGAATAAATGCAGTGATGAACTGTATAAACATATTTAGGAAGGTGGAACAAATTGAGTAGAAAGCAGGGGAAATAATGAAGAGCGAAAGCACTAAAGTAGCAAATGGTTCCACGGATCATAAGAAAAGAGACAACGTAGAAAGGGAATGGGAAGGTAGTATGAAGGCACATAGAGTTTCACAAGCAAGAGAAAAGATACTGAGTTGTTACCAAGAAGCATTATAACAAGAAGCAGATGACTTTAAAGGTGGGCCAACTCTGCTCAGACCGAATGGCTGTGCCACTTCTGATAGCCCTTCAAGGTTCTGATGTGAATGGCTATCACTCATCGGAAGCTGCTTGTCAGCCGGTTGCCCTGTTCAGCTTCTGCTGCCTAACTATCCTCAGCTGCCCCTGCTGCAGTCCCACCTTCCCCAGCCTTCTGTTCCAGTCAACCAAACACTCCCCCCCCTTATCTCTGACACCTCATTCCTAGTGCTTTCCCCATCTCTTCCTCCTGGTTGCTGCTCAAGCATTCCTCCACTAACCACATCCATAGATGCTGGAGTGTGGGTGCTACCGCAGCCCTTGGTTTGAAGTGGTTTCTATCATATATAAAGTTCACAGTTTGGTTCAGTGGCTCTCAGAACTATACAGATTGTTTCAGCATCCCTGACCTCATCCACCGCTCCTTGTGAATTCCAGATTCGTGCTGGAAAAATGCACAACAAGAGACAGTCTTGGTGCCACACATCTCACATCCTGACTTGAGGTGGTGGTAGCAGAAAGTGACCCCACTTGTGGGCTGACGTTAGCCCGGAAAAGGGTAAGAGCTGACTGTTCTGGGGAGGTGGCCAGGGAATGTGCTGATTTAATGTATCACCTGAGCTGCTGATGCAGGTGGCATTGTAGGTTTCCACACTGACCACGTATCAAGTAGCAGAAGATTTGCCATGACTTTCTGTTCTTGACTCACCACTTATCTGGGAACATGTGACTGCAGTGGCATCATCTACAGTGTCCTTAGGTAGATGACAGACCTACCATTGCCCTCACTGCAGCTTATCCAAGATGGAGGGATGCAGTTGACTTCCTGCTCAGCACCAAGAGGGTTGCTAATGCAGACAGGATCTTTAGGAGACCACTTATGATGCAGTCTGTGTCTGTGGACCCAGTATCAGCTTTACTGTTGGTCCCAATGCCTGTCCAGGACTAAATGACCGTGTGATGCCGGTACCAGCATCCACAGGGCCAATGTCTCTTCTTTCATTTGTATCAAACTGACAAGTTGCAGGGCAAGTAGTGGCCCCATCAAGAATAGCTCCCCCGGCACCATTAGACTAATTAGAAGGGTCTTCAAAATTGAGGTCAGAGGCATCTCCCTTCCTCTCCCCATCATGTTATCAGGTTAATAGGTCATTGAAACACAGTGGAAGTCCTAGTTGGCACCAGGATCAGTACCATGCAGACAGCAGAGACAAGGGTTCCTGGCCTACCTCCTACTGACCACTGATGCTATCTCCCTATTCATGGTAGCCTCCTTGGAATCCCTGAAAAGTCCCTTGTTTGTCTAAATTGTAGTCATCTGTCCTCTTCAGGGCAAGATTACCTGGGCCTCCGGTAGCCTCCTGTGGTGTTTAGATGTTGCTTGTAATTATTAGAATTGGGAGCACTGGGTGTTGGGAGTCTGAAAGGACAGGAAACAGGAAGGAGGGGGGAGGAGTTGAAGCAGCAGCTTGGAAAAGAGGTTTTTCTACTTTAAAAAATAAAGTCCTGTTGAAGTTTGTTAGTACCTTGCCTGGCTACTACAACATTTTGGCAACGAGGATGGATCTTCTGCCTCTGAACCCACCTGCACCCTTTCTACAAAGCCCAGGTGAGCCTCCAATTGCTTTTACTGCCTGGATCCATATGTTTGAGATTTATCTGCTTGCAATCAGTGCTACAGAGATTTCTGAAGTAAGAAAGCGTGCTCTGCTAATCCACTGCCTTGGAGCAGAAGGGCACCATATATTTTATATTTTTCCCCTTGCAGACGATAAATATGAGACTGCACTCACTGCATTAAAGAACTTTTTTGTACCAAAAGTGAATGTAGTAGGGCCACACGTTCAAGTTGCACACAGACCACAGCCCTTT